AAAATCAGTTTTAAAAATCAGAACTGATTGCCAGTAAAATGACTAGAAATTTGATTTGCATTGACGTCGGGATCACATTCCGTCGCATTAGCGGCCGATTCACTGGTCGGCGACTCAATTGACTCAATGGTCAGCAGTTTATGAAAAAGTATTTGTAAAGTCGGCGACACTTCTCCAGAATTGGTGTCATTTGAACGAATAGTTTGTTCGTTATTATTGAGGACTCGGCCCTCAAACACGTTTGCCGTGTCGTCCAAATTGTTTAAATGGATTTCCTCGTGACTTCTTCGTAATGGCTGTGGTTTTGGGTCACAATTCAAACTCATGTCGGTATCGGAAGAACAGCGATGTATTGCTGCCAACGACTCGTTTTCATTCGTCGATTCACACCTAGAATTCAATATTTCTCCGGAATTCAAATCCTGAACGTTATTATCGGATGAATTGGACGACGGATTGTAGTTCTCGTCCTTCACTTCCAATAAACCAAACAAACCGTTCCTTTCGTTTATGTCTTCGCTTTTGGCGTTCAATGAATTTAAATTAAAATTCATTGCTTTTTGATTATCACACAAATTCTTATTTAAGACATCAATTCTATTGATATTGGGATTAATTATGATGTCATTGTCTCCGAGAGGTATATTCATGGCATCATTTGTACGATTCACTGATATTTGGTGCGACATATTTGAATAGTGAGACTCGGGATTAGCTTTGGGCTGAAATCTGACCACTTTTTGTTCGGCTAATTGTTTGTCGTTAATAGTAAAGACGGGAAGTGTGGCCCAACTCGCTCTCACACCTGTACTTCGGGATGAAATACTGCTCGTATCGTCGCTCAACGTCTCGGGTGAGGCCAACGGCGCCGCACCGAACCAGTCGTCGCGCATCAGATCCACTCGCATAGTATCGGCAAATGTCATCAGATGTGACGGACGGACGGACCGATTGGTAAGACTTTTCTCGTTTTTGATATTTTGTGCGATGAGTGGAGAATCAGTAAAACTAGTCTCTAATAGTATATTCTGTGGACATTCAAAGTTTGTATCTTTATTAGTGGGCTGACAGGGGCTGCCGTGCGGTAAACTCGTAGTATTTGTATTTTCATTTGTATTTATATTAGTGTTTTGTATTTTTCTTTGAGGTTTAGCGGGTCCCGTGTGGACCAACAGTTTCTCGAGAGCGTCTAACATCTTGTCGGGCATGTGGTCCTGAATCATGACCGGAGATATCAATATTTCATTGAAATTTGTATTGTCGGCCCACAAGGCCTGGAATATGGGCTCTTTTTTGCCCACAAAATTCCTATAATTCGTATTAAAGTTTCAATTAATTGTAAATCAATTTGAATTTAATCAATGAAATGAAAGAAAGGCATTAATTATACCTCCATTTGGACTCATATTTAATGCTGAGGAAAGGCGTTAAAGAGAATAAAGCAATAGTTTTGTTATGTTATAAGCAATTATAGGGGCAATAATTGAAAGGATTGCAATGAGTGGACACTTACTCAGACTTTTTGGGATGATTTCTAACCAAATGAATGATACGTCCGGGAGGGTAGAGCGGCGGATGCACTGTCAGTGCTATCGAGTCGTCGATTGGGTGCGAAGACAGTTCTCTAATACTGTTTAAATCGGAAACGTCTTCGCAATTAATAGTGTGTTTAGTGTCTCGACAAGAGTGAGGACAACAACATAGAGCGCCGCCTCCAATGACATTCCATTTTGGTTGCAAACACTGTTTGATAGCATTGATGAGATCGAAGCGCAAGGTTTCCATTTGATGCAAACCAAGTCTTGGGACCACATCTTTGCCCAACACCACTGATATAATGAATTCTTTGGTGTATTCGATGGCGGGTGCGCTCAATAGGCCTCCGGGCGGTGCGAACGCGAAGCAGATTAAATCAGGAAATTCTTGTTTGAGCAAAATGGCGAGAATAGCTGCCGTTCCCGCGCCTAACGAGTGACCGACTAATATAATGTTAAACGATTGCGTCCCTCTTTCGGGCGCGTAATTCAACGCTTTGTTCAAAACGTCGTCAACTTTTAGCTTATTTCGGATATAAAGAGCCGCCTCAACCATTCCCTTGTGGGCCAACCAGTCTTCGTGTATGGGATCTGTTGGCAGTAGCTCTCCCTCAGCATTCAAATCAGTTATAACCTACAAAAATCAGATACAAATTAGTCTATGATTATGACCATTAGATAACGCGTGTTAATCCATACGTCGTGTAGAGATAGCGTTCCCCTCACACTAATCACAACCGATCTCTTGTCGTAATCGAGAGCCACAAAGAATGGCGGCTCTCCAATGGCCACGTGATATGTAGCGTAAATGAGCTCATAGTTGTGCGTTTGGCACATATTCTTGAGCGCCGCGTAATTACATTGACAGCAGTTGTCGTCGATGGCTAAGCGCTCATCCGATTCAGCCATGCGTTTAGTTGCCGAACAATTCAAACAACAGCCGGAACTCTTGGAGCAGCACTTCATGTGTGGGAACAGTTGACAACAGCCGGTGGCGCTGTTCATCATCATAAATATAGGCCATCCATAAACAGCTAACCCGTAGTGCAAAAAGTGGATCAAAGTTCGAATCTCTTCGGCGACAACGGGATGATTGACGTCAAGGAATTTGGTGTTAGAAGTGATGGCAACTCCCGATAGAAATTGAAACGTGTTGTCCTGACGCTTGTCTACAATCACGCGTCTCTCCAGGCGTTGATGTCTTCGCAATAGTATGAGTCCTGCGATCACATCCGAAGGCACGACATCTAAATCGCGGAAGAATTCCGATAAGAGTTTCGCTATTTCTGTGAATGAGTTCTGCGAACAAAGACAAGGGATTGTCGTTTAGTATTATTGGTGTCGAATATTATTCAATCTAAAGACCTGTTGGCGATCATTAGCGCCGACACAACAGAATAGTAGCCGACATCGACGGTCCCAACTGTCCTGATATTCTCGGACAGCGATTCTGTAATACAATATAATTATTTATAAAATAAAACAATGTCTCAAAAATACTAACACTCAAGACATGTCATTCATGTGTTTATGAATGAATTCACAAAAATTATTAAATTCCGTGACATTTAATGCAAACAAAAGCGTAAACTAAAAATCCATAAAATGACAATAAAACCAAAAACATAAATAACCGGTTAGTGAAAGCACCCGATCAGCAAAATATCGCACATAAGTATTTTGAAGCAAATAATAATTTAAATAAAATAAGTGGTTAACATTTACCGGTGCCGCCAATTACGTTGACTATTGCCAGAGCGTCTGTACCTAAACTTGGACTGACCCTCTTTGAGGCTGTTTTGATACACTTTCATCTTAACCCACGAACGCCCGGCCGCGTCATACGTGCACCAAATGGTGACAATCATAATACCGATGACCAGTACATTGCATACATTGATACCGAACAGAGCCTCCACTCCAAACATTCTGTGGCAGGAATTGTTCAACAAATTGTTTCGCATGTGAAGACTCGACAGAATCATCCAAACAATTTCCACCACAAATATTCCTGAATATCATTATATAATTGTCACAATCATTGGTAAAATATTGGCGCGAATATAAGACAGCGGTTAAAACCATTACCGATTCGGATGTATAGCAGATATTTCATTGAACTTCGGGGCAAAGTGTTGAGAATAGAGCCCCTCATCGACAGCCACACAATAAATGTCTCGACGATTACACATCCAAACAGTATTATAATATAGCCTAACGTGTAATACAAATAAGTGAGGCATCGGTATTGGTCCCAAGCACTGGCCGTCACCGACAATACTATAAGCCTTTATATATGGATTCAAATTAGGTATTATTTGTACATAAGTAATGGCATAACAAATACAATACCAAATGACATGAATGCACAATAGTATAGCCGCGGGCACCACGAGGTCATCCGAGCCTACAGACCACCGGCGCTTGAATATGACGAGTCCCGGCATTGCCTTATCATTTAGTTACTACTAAATGACCCACATTTTAGTTCTCGCCCTAACAAAGTTTGAATTTATTTAATTTACTTATTAATTACTATCGTATATATTGTCATCAAATGTTTTCAAGTGCTTTCAAACACAGAATATATTAGATACAGAATCTCTATTATACATGTATATTAACTGATTAGTATAGGTTATCAATCACTTATCATGCACATTTCTATGTTACCATGTATTGTACTATTTTCATCCTAATATCATATAAGATATGTCATGTGTGCAAATAGCCTTTATGTCCTTGGTCATTCTCAGTATTTATATTCTGTGTTTTAATTGTTATTATTTCATATCATTTCCTAATAACGAAAGCTTATTATTCTTTGCATTCAAATTAATTGCCAAATATTGGGCACAAAAACAACTCAATTTCAATACAACAGTAAACTTAATGATTGATATATTTATATCAAATGTCATTAATCACTCAAAACTTTTAAATGAAGGAACTTTCTGTAGAGAAAGCTCGTTATACAGATTTTTCCCAAATGCATTACACATTTAAACATTTTGAATAGAAAGAAGGAGCTTTCAATGAAAAAAGTTTAAACATACCGTATATGTACAATACCGTATACAATGAAAATAAATGTTTGAATGTTTGAAAATAAATGTTCAAATGTTTAGGAGTAAATGTTTGAATTTATTAACGGTTTTAGATTGCAATTAATACAAAATCTTAATAACAATGAGTTTATGGCAACTGAAACACCTGAGTTCGTCGCCGTAATAGACTATTAGTTACAATTAATACAAAATCTTAATAACAATGAGTTTATGGCAACTGAAACACCTGAGTTCGTCGCCGTAATAGACTATTAGTTACAATTAATACAAAATCTTAATAACAATGAGTTTATAGCAACTGAAACACCTGAGTCCGTGGTCATAATAGAGATTATTAAGTAATTCTTAAGTTAGCGATGATTTGATGCTATAGTGCTTGTTGTCCACTTGAATAATATTCGCTCAATTGCCAAATAGAAATCTTGCGCTGTCTTTGTAATCCAGATTAAACGCAAAATGGGATATAAATAAAATGTAAATACATTTAATGAGAGTTGTACTAAACACAAAAAATCAATCGACTTAAACATAACCTGTTGTTTCGGCGGCTCTTGTTTGCGAGAAGTGGATACCCTTATCAATCGTAACACCTTTTGTTAAATGCCTTCAATGGAGCTAATGAGTGATATAAATACATTAAACACAGACAGACAAACAAAATGACCACAATGTGATACACCTGAGTTCCGTTGTTTTCAATCTAATGCTCACTTACTTTCAACGCTATTGTCGAGCTTGGATCAGATGAGGTGATGGTTGGCAGTACTGGGAACGCAGGTGTATCACCAGTAGTGCGCTTGTAATAGCACTCACACTTCCCACACAAATGATTGGGTTGTTGTTTGAAATGTGCGGACAAAACACCACAACAGGATGTGATATGACTTCCGCTCAGAATCGCAAACACTTAGTGAGACATCTGTTGTCAATATTTTTAATGTCTTTTTATGCGTTAAAAATGTTTAAAAATTTTTTTGACTGAAAAAAATGTTTAAACATTCAATTTTAGTTTTCAGTGATATTGCAATTAATTTTGCATAAAAATAAATAAATTCTGGTTTTAATTATTCATGAAATGCTAAATAATGTGAATAAAAAGCAATCCATTAATATATTCCCTATTGTTATACATTTCATAACGAATCTCATTGTCATTACAGTTATATAAAAGACTATTAAATCAATAAAAATCAGTAAATAAGACATCAATTGATTTCAAATACAATCAGAAAATGCATTCAATTCATGACAACAAATGACTGAAAGTGTTATCCAAACAAACAAATGAATGGTTAAAATACCTTAAGTTTAATATGGATTCAAATGACACCGCATTTCAAGTGTTGTGTAAAGGGTTTGTACTTTCAATTGAGTGTCATATCTGTTANAATTCATGACAACAAATGACTGAAAGTGTTATCCAAACAAACAAATGAATGGTTAAAATACCTTAAGTTTAATATGGATTCAAATGACACCGCATTTCAAGTGTTGTGTAAAGGGTTTGTACTTTCAATTGAGTGTCATATCTGTTATATTAAACCGCTATTCATATCATTACATATAAACTCATCAATTAATCGTACAATCAATGCATTGGTTATGCAATAACTGTAAAGCAATGCATTGTTTCACACATTAATCCCCTCTTCTCTCCACTTATTTATGCAATAAATGGACGAAACAATAGACACAACACTATTATAGACTGACAGACAGTTTAGTGATTCATGCATTCAATACTGAGTGTCATCTGTCGGACAACTCTTATCGCAATCTTTTAAACTTTTAACTTTTCATTCAAACTAAACTTATGGCGAGTTTAACGCACTTTAACTTCAGATAACAGTTATTGTCATTAATTGTAACCAATATTTGCTGTATTTATGGTAAACATATACACATAGCTCTCATCAGTTTCCTGTATTAAGCACTCAACGCACATATCATTCATTGTTTGTTATTTATTAATCAAATCAAATAAATTGTGTTTCAATACTAATGTTTGCTAAATCGATGCCAGTCTGGAGACCAATATTTATTAAAGCGATTCAATTAATATTCAAATAAATATGTATTCAAATAGTCATTAAACAGGATTTGTGATCAAAACTCAACATTTATTAATTGATCACAATTTAGGAACCATATATCCATTATAATCTAGCTCGTACACAATGTGCATAACGCAATTAAAAGAGGTGGCGTTTAGCGACTATGTAGCTGACCGCAAATTACAATAATCAAATGTATTTAAGAGGTGTGCAATATAAAAAAGTGTAAATATAATGGATTATGCCAAAAAGTGTACCACAAGTGGAGGTGCGGGGTATCGATCCCCGTACTTCTCGCATGCTAAGCGAGCGCTCTACCATCTGAGCTACACCCCCGACATATACTACATGCACTCTAGTTATACATATGCTTTATATCGCTTGAAAATTGCATTTATTTGAACTTTTTGTAGACATTTGCCATTCATTTTGGGCCCAAAACGTGAACAACAAATGTCAATACAAATCACGTGTTAATTCATATCTATATATGACGTCATGTTTTGTGATGTTTTTTCTGTAAAATCATTGAATGATTGAATGATTTGATTAAACATTACTTTTAACGCACTTTTAATTTATATCTCTTTTCATTATTTATTTAAATTGTAAACAAAATCATTGATTAATAAATCGTTTGAATAAATGCTATAATTTTAGCGGCAATTCGTCGGCAAAAGTGATGGAAAACAATATATTTATCATAATTTTCCTCATTTTCATCGGATTTACGGCAAGAGATCTACTCTTTGGATATGAGAGGAATACGTCGGCCAAAGAGGTGGACACCGAAGGAGACAACACTCATAACTACAAGAAGGAGATCCCGTCGATGACATTCAAAGCGCAGCCAAACGGACCGACTCTGAAGATACTCTACTGTTATTCATGCGGTTATAAAAGGGCTTTCGATGAGTACTCGACGCTAATCACCGATCGGTTCCCAGACCTCAATATAATGGGAGACAATTATACGCCAGGTATGGCTCGAAGCAAATTAGTGCAACTCTTGTCGGTTCTGAAGCTCGTATTAATGGCTCTTCTGATGGCAAACATCAATCCATTCACTTTCCTCAACGTTAACACTCCCGGAGTCTGGCATTGGATGACTCAACACAAGGTCTGATCATTTGCTCCACATTTACCCTAATTGTTGACTAACATGTGTTTGTGTCCGCGAATCAGATGTACGCCTGTCTTATGCTATTCTTCTTGAGCAACACCCTTGAGAGCCAACTCATGTCTTCGGGCGCTTTCGAGATCTTCTACAACGGTATGAATAGTGGAGATAATAATCGATGTGTGAATTGATTGTAAGTTTGTTTGCTTTATGACATAACAGATGTTCCCGTTTGGTCTAAACTAACCACTGGTCGCATACCATCGCCGCCAGAGATGTTTGAGATAATTGACAACCAAAACAAGTTATACGCCAATCAATTGAATCTAGATTTGCATTCATTGCCAGAGAAACTCATTTAGTGATCAAATTTATCAACATTTTTAATATTTGTTTCAAATTTTGTTAATTTTATAATAATTGATATCAAAAGTGTCCCTAAATTTCATTGATTTTGATGTCCGATAAAAAACACTTAGAATTCGATTAACTGTTTATTTGTATTCAAGAAAAACATTCATTTTATTCAAAAACGATTAAATTTTAAAAAATACGAAACATTTGTATTAATTTTAATCAAAATTCAGTATTTATGGGAAAATACTTTCGTTAAGTAGTTATAAAATCATTAATAAAAGTTAAAAAAGTATTGTAATAATAATCATCTAAAATATTTGCAACGAATAATAACAACAACGGATTTATTGTGTTTTACTGGTCTTGACTTTTGTTAAATACGGTAAAAACAATCGGTAAATGATTTCTTCCCACGAAGTATAGGCCGGAAGTCTTGTGGAGAGAGTGAGAGTTATCACAATATATGCGATAAATATTATCACAAAAATTGATTTCAACGGTATTTTAAAGAAAACAAATGTCAGAATTCGCACAATTCGTTGAAACCTATTTACAAATATAAATATTAATCAATTGAATAAATGAATCAAATTTCTTACAAATTAAGAGAAACTCGTTTATCATTCTCTTCATTAGCGACTGAATTGTTTGGTTCAATGTTTTCAGATTCAGATTCTAAAAGGCTTTGAAATTCATTGCTCTCATCAGTTATAGGCGAGAGCTTTGGAGGAATGTTGTCATTAAAATCATCAAAAATGTGGTCCATATCGTCATCGTTGACACTAAAAGAATAATCAGGTATTTCTGTATTGGTTTTGTTTATTAATATGGATTCTCTCGAAGATTGCATTGCATTTTGATCGCATTTGTGAACACAATTCACACAATTGTTCACCGATTCGTCAAATTTTGTTTTATAAAACCATAACTCTGTGTCTCTGTCAGCGATCTCTCGGTCCAAATCAGAGATTTGTTGTTTCAGTTCTTGGATCTCATTGTGCTGTTGAGCGCACTCGACATATGCCGTCTGCAACTGTTCCAAAGTCTTGTATTTGTTATCTTCCTCTTCAGTGAACGCTTGTCTCGCGCTGTTATATGACGTGAGCAGACATTCCTCGCTCTTCTGGCACTCAATTAATTGAATTTCACTGAAATATAACTAAAATAAAATGTCTTTAAATTAAATTCATATAAAATAATACTTTAAAATGAGTTATACTTTGTCTTCAATCTCTTTAATATAGGACTCGAGTCTCTGTTTTTGAAGTCGTTTTTCCTCCAATTCTTTGTGAAGACTTGTATTTAACGACTCGAATATATATAAACTCTTCTTCAAGTCATCGATGGCTTCATTCTTAAGCAATATCTTCCTCTCAAACGACTCTCTCAAGTGATTCATCGCTGAATCCGATCTCTGTTTGTCTTTAATTAACTCCACGTTTTGCTCTTCAATTGCTATCAACTGATCCTTCATTTTCTTCAGCTCTTCGTTATCAGCAATCAATCGGTTAATCATTTTCTCGCAATTATTAACACAATATTGACTTTGATTTAGGCTATCATTGGATGTGTCCATCAAATGCGGGTCCCGTTGTCTGTCATCCAAGTCTTGTTCGTGGGATTCAAACGACTCATAAACGGTCGCATCGTTTGCCACAAACTCAACAAACAATTCATTTCTATCGTTAAATGTATTGTTTGTAATCTTGTCTTCATTTGGACTCAAATTCATTATATTTTGATTGAAATGCAAATCAAAACTCATTTGTATTTCAAAACCAAAACAAATTTCACTAAATTTACAAAAAAGTTACAACTTTTCGACAATCGTGTGATACATGTCTCCCATTGTGTGGACCATTAGTTTCACACATTAATACACTTATCGTTGGATATTATGTGCAAAATGTGTCCAAATTATTACAATTAACCCTAAATTACAAACAATTAAATCGTGTTTTGATTCAAAAAACATGAAAACTTCAAAATAAATTCAATCCAATTGTTCGCGCATTTATTGCACTCAATTTCAGCTCTTCGTTATCAGCAATCAATCGGTTAATCATTTTCTCGCAATTATTAACACAATATTGACTTTGATTTAGGCTATCATTGGATGTGTCCATCAAATGCGGGTCCCGTTGTCTGTCATCCATGTCTTGATCGTGGGATTCAAAGGACTCATAAACGGTCGCATCGTTTGCCACAAACTCAACAAACAATTCATTTCTATCGCTAAATGTATTGTTTGTAATGTTGTCTTCATTTGGACTCAAATTCATTATATTTTGATTGAAATGCAAATCAAAACTCATTTGTATTTCAAAACCAAAACAAATTTCACTAAATTTACAAAAAAGTTACAACTTTTAGACAATCGTGTGATACATGTCTCCTATTGTGCGGTCCATTAGTTTCACACATTAATACACTTATCGTTGGATATTATGTGCAAAATGTGTCCAAATTATTACAATTAACCCTAAATTACAAACAATTAAATCGTGTTTTGATTCAAAAAACATGAAAACTTCAAAATAAATTCAATCCAATTGTTCGCGCATTTATTGCACTCAATCTCCACAACAATAACGTCCGTATATTTGGACACAAAGTTTTGACACTTTTTACTCTCAAATTGGGTCTCAATTTATACATTTTGTTAATTAATAACCATTTAATGTCTTTAAATGAAATTATCATTTTAAATATGACTAACAATTAGCTGCCAATGAAAAGTACATTTTATATTTTGCAATTAATCCGTACTCGAGATTAAGTCTACGATTAAGTAAACTATCGTTCGGGCAATAAATTCAAAGAAATAACACATTTTAATTTCAACTAATATTTTATTTTAAGTCGAGAGAGAGAGAGAGAGAGAGAGGGAAAGAGAGAGGCCTATAAGTACTGGAAGTGGTGTC